GAGAGAGACACATCGATTGGTTGCCTCCCACAGGTGCCTGACTGGGGGTGGGATCCAACTTGCAACCCAGGTATGTACCCATGACCTGGAATCAAACCCAAACCCTCCTGATGCATGGCCAGGGCTTAGTTGTTCTTTATAGAGAACTTTGAGATGCTATGAAATAACTTTAAACAGGTGAAAAAAAATAAGCTCAGGTCAAGTAACTTACCCAAGGTCAACAAAGAAGCCAGGGATAGAGTCCAGAGTCAAACTTGGATCTGCTACACTCCTAATCCACACTCCTCTCACACGCCACTGGGGTGTGGTCAGTAAGGTCTTACCCTTATCCGAAAGCCCACTTAGAAGCCAAGGCCAACATGCAGAAGGATTTGGCAAAGCTGGGCAGATCAGGAGGGAGATCTGCCAATGAATTTTGAGGGGCATCAAGACCTGGCTATACCTTCAGAGGTGGGCATTTTTACAGGTGAAGCAGAGAATAGGAGGGAATTCTAGGTGGGAAACAAGGCATGAGCAAAGGTGTGGAGGAAGAACTGATTCCTGTACAGAAGGGAGTGACTATGACAGCCTGAGTGTTGCAGATGGGATCAGAGAAAGGATGCAGTAAGAAGGGGTATGTTCAGGGTGACAGAAAAGTCTATGCCTCTATATGAACCAGCCATTCCATTTTTGGGAATTTACCCAAAGAAACCCAAAACACTAATTTGAAAGAATATATGCATCCCTATGTTCATTGCAGCATTATTTGTAATAGCCAGGCTATGGAAGCAACCCAAGTGCCCATCAATAGATGAGTGGATAAAAAAGCTGTGTATAAATGGTACATTTATACAATGGAATATTACTTAGCCATAAAAAGAAATGAAATCTTACCATTTGTGACAGCATGGATGGGCCTAGAGCAGGGGTGGGCAAACTTTTTGACTCAAGGGCCACAATGGGTTCTTAAACTGGACCGGAGGGCCAGAACAAAAGCATGGATGGAGTGTTTGTGTGAACTAATATAAATTCAAAGTAAACATCATTACATAAAAGGGTACGGTCTTTTTTTTTTTTTAGTTTTATTCATTTCAAACAGGCCGGATCCAGCCCGCGGGCCGTAGTTTGCCCACGGCTGGCCTAGAGGGTATTATGCTTAAAGAAAGACAAATATCATATGATTTCACTGATATGTGAAATCTAAAGAACAAAAAAAACAAAATCAAAACAGACTCAGACACAGAGTCTGAGAGGAAGAGGGTACCCAGAGAGGAAGAGGGTTGGGGGACTGGGTTTTCAAAAGATGGGAGGGAGTTAGAGAGATGGGTGAAAAAGGTGAAGGAATTAAGTACAAATTGGTAATTATGGAATGGTCACAGGGATGGTAAAAGTATAGCAGAGAGAATCCTATATAATAAAAGAGAAATATGCAAATTAACCATCCCTCTGCTACACTCAAGCCACACCCACCAGCCATGCCCACCAGCCCATCAGGAGCGAGTATGCAAATTAACCCAACTAAGATGGCAGTGGCCACAGAGCTGAAGCGAGCAGGAGGCTTGGGTTGCCCCCGGCGATGGAGGAAGCCAAGCTTCCCTCCTGCCCTGACCGGACCTGGGCTCCGCTCAAGGCTACAAAGTTTCAATTATAGAAGATAAATAAATCCCAGAAAAAAAAAAAAGGAGAGGCTGGGAGCTTTGGTCACGGGGGTGCATGGCCAGCCTGAAAACGGCCCTCAAGTAAGACCTCATGGGCTGATCAGGTTTTACTTGTAAAGGCAAAATAGAATGACACATCCCAGGAATCACTGGACTCCTTGGGATGTGAAAGGAAGGAGGCTGTGGAGAGAAATGGGGCTGCAGGGGTAGCAGGGCCCAGTCACAAAGCACCTTGAACATAAACCTGGCATCATTCGAGGGAAGTAGGAGCCAAAGAAGCAATGGAAACATAACTTCAATTTGCAATTGAAGATCCACCTTGCATTGATTGGAGTCTTCCTTACCTCTGGCCTGTGTTAGGTGGAACGATAAGTTTTGTCATTGTTTAATCAGTGATTTTCAAAGTTTGAGCCCTGGACCCAGCATCATTAGAAATGCAAATTCTGCCCTAGCCCGTTTGGCTCAGTGGATAGAGCATCAGCCTGCGGACTGAAGGGTCCCAGGTTCGATTCCAGTCAAGGGCACATGCCTGGGGTTGCGGGCTCGATCCCCAGTAGGGGATGAGTCATGCAGAAGGCGGCCAATCAATGATTCTCTCTCATCATTGATGTTTCTATCTCTCCCTCTCCCTTCCTCTCTGAAATCAATAAAAATATATATATATTTTTAAAAATGCAAATTCTTAGACTTCATCTCAGATTTGCTGACACAGAAACTTTAGAGGTGGGGGCCTGGCAATCTGTATTTAACATGCCCACTAAGTGATTTCTGATACACATTAAAGTCTTCGAATCAGATTTAAACTAACTTGAGCCCCATATATATATATATACTTTGCAGCTCAAAGCCTCTATTACAGTGGCTCTTAACCTTGGTTGCATATTGGGAATACCTTAAAAGATGCTGATGTCTAAACCCCATAACCAGAGATTCTGATTTAATTGATCCAGACTGGGCCTGATCATGATTTTTTAAATCCCCCTGTCCCCCCCCCCAAAAAAACACCCCAAATTATTTAAATGCACATTTAAGTTTGAAGAGCAGCTGTAAGGGACACAGGAGGCTCATGCAAAGACAATGTTCTGTTGGGCCAGGGCAGTGACTGTGGAAATGAATGCTTACAATGTCAACTGGCCAGGCCTCTGTAACAGATACTATAGGTTAGTGAGGTGTGGGGAGGAGCCAGGAATGACTGTGTTTGCAGCTTACACAAGTGTCTGAATGGTGGCACCTTTCCTGAGGATGGAGCGCATGGAGAGGACCAGGTTTGAGGGGGAAGACTTGGGGTACAGTCTTAGGAATGATGAGTTCTGTTTTGACCCCTTCAAGGTTAAGGAAGCTGTGGAACATTCAGAGGGAGGGGTCAGGGTGGCAGTTGGATATGTGGTTGTGTCGCTCTGGGGGCCCAGCAAGACAGACACAGAGTAGGTCCTCAGGAGAGAGGTGGAGGGGATGGGATTGCCTGGGACTTGCCATAGTGAGAGGGAAGCAGGCCAGGGAAAGGGACTGGTGGAGGAGGGGGCTCCCACAGCAGGAAGGCACGGTCAGGAAGGAGGAAGGAAAGCCTGCCAGGAATTTGGGATTCGAAAGGAGAGTGGTTGAAGAAGATGGTCTGAGGGCTGGGGAAAGACAAGAGCATGCAAAGTGGTTGTTGGATTTGGCAATGAAGGAGTCACGGGACCTCGGTGAAAGAATCAGTCCTGGGGTTTGGCTAGGCTGGAAGGTGGGAGGAGGAGCCCAAAGGCAGGCACTGGGGGTAAGTGGGAGGGGAGAAGGAGAGGGAGAGCAAGACAGCTCCCTCACGGGAAGGTGGCACCTAGAGAAGGACACAGAGCCAAGGGGATGTCTTGTGAGCATCTTCCTGGTGGGTTATGAGTGGGTGAAAAACAGCAGAGCACAAACTGCCAGGATGTCACCTTTCAAAGAGTCGCTTCAAGTCGTGGCCTGCAGCAGCAAATAGCACTTTAAGTTTGTGTGCACCTGTCACTGCACAGTAAAGAGAAGTGTCTAAAGGCAGAGATGAGTCAGACAGTCTGAGTGGGCACCTCATTAAGCATGCAACCTGGGGCTAGTTAACCTCTCCGTGCCTCAAGTTTTCATCTGTGAAATGGGGATATTATGATAACTCTTATGTAGTGTTCTTTGCCAGGCACTGTTGTGCTTTATATATATTTTTAAAAATTGCTCTGAGAGGGAGGGGTGGGGGGGGGAGAGAGAGAGAGAGAGAGAGAGAGAGAGAGAGAGAGAGATTAATTTGTTATTCCACTTATTTATGCAGTCATTGGTTGATTCTTATATGTGCCCTGACTGGGGATTGAACCTGCAACCTTGGTGTATTGGGATGACGCTCTAACCAACTGAGCTACCCGGTACTTGACCAGGGCTTATATTTACTCTCAAATCCTCACAACAGGCCTATAGAGGTAGGTATGGTAGGGATTGAGTAGGGATAAAGCCCTTAGAATAGCTTGGCATGTAGTAAACACTGCATAGCTATGCAGTTATTGTTATTATTCTATATGAATGAGAAGGGCAAAGCCCACGGAAGACTGTTTATATCCGGCAAATGCCTCCAGAAGTTCTGAGATGTGAGAGGATTCAAACTTGCCAGGCCTGAATGGTCAGCTCCATGAGAGGAGTACAGCAGTGAACAGAATCCCGAGAGCCACGACATCGCCTGCTTCACAGCAAGCCCTCAGGGAATATTTGTTCAATGGATCAATGAAAGGATCAATGAAGTGGGGTCTTTTACCCCAACTCCCATCTGAAGTATCAGTTCCTTGAAAGACATCCCAGCCAAGCGGCCACCCGGTCAGTGTGCACATCTTGCACAGTGGGGACAACACTGCTCTCTGCAGCAGCATATTTCTCCTCCTGGATGGTTCTGATGGGTGGCCCTGTCACTTCCACTCCTGGATCCCAGCTCTGCCCTCTTCCAACTTGGAAAGTAGTGAGCCTCTGTGAACCCACTCCTGGCCATGGAGGGAGGATTTCCAAGATGAGGGTCCTCTCCCGCCTGGATGACAGCCACAGCCTAAATCCGGCTGCCTTACTTTCACCATCGCCCCATGGTGGCCTGTTCTCAACTTGGCAGTCAGAGGAAGCCTGTTCAGAAGTTAGTATGGAATCTTGTCCCACCTCTAGTGGCTCTCCAGCTCAGAAGCCACCTCCCACTGCCAACCGACTCTCCATTCCAGAGCAAGATACGCTGACCATCCCTGACAGTTTGTTTTTATTGGTCAAGAATGCTCTACAAAACACGTACACACACACACACACACACACACACACACACACACACACAATGCCTGCCTTGGCTTGGCCACCCGCCCTGCTGCCCTGCTTTCTGATACCAGAACTTCTAGGCTTGGCTTGGCCACCCGCCCTGCTGTGTGCTCTTCTGATACCAGAACTTCTAGGCTTCATCCACCCAGGGATGCTATCCTGCAGCGCCCCCAGGTTACCAGTGAAGGAACAGAGAGAACCCCCTTTTCTGCTTCTCTGCTCAGAAGCAGAGGCATGTGCTCTACCTGTTGGGGAGCAGGTGGGAGTGACAGAGGAATAGGATCTTCCCATTTTCTCCTTTAAGTTCCTTGAGTTGCCAGTTTAGGCCCCAAATGTCACAGCTGCTCAGGCCTTGGGATCATCATCTGGTTGAAGCTTCCTCACCCCCATTTTGCAGACTGGAAAATGGAGGTCCACAGATGGAGTATGAGTCCCCTAGGTCACAGTGTAGTCACTGGCAGAGCAGACACTGGAACTCAGTGTTTTCTGACTTCCAGGAGGTGGGAAGAGGCTAAGGTCCTGCTTAACTCTCAGGAAAGGGGACAAGCAGGGCCTGGGGCAGGAAGGGAGTGCCCAGGAGTTGTGTCTGGAGCCCACGTCCAGGGAAAGTAGTCCCCATGGCAGCTGAGTGAATGGCAGGGTCTGGTCAGCACTATAACGGTCTGCCCTCTGTGACTGCCCGTGTGGCTTGCTCAGGTATACAGCCTGGGTCCGTCAGGATACTGGTAGATGTGCTCAGCTGGCGGAGAGAGTTCAGGACAGCTGGGAAGAGAGAGAGAGACGCCTCCTGTGGTCAGGGCCCCACCCTTGGATGCTGAAGGCAATGGGGTAGGGGGAGATGCTGGTTGGCAAGACTGTCTGTAGTGTCTTGGTAGCTGGGGAACCAGCCAGAAAGCATGGTGGGATAACCAAAACCCTAGGCTATTTTGAAGGCAGGCTGCACCTGGGGTCTGAGCAGAGTGGAATCCTCTGCCCTGAGGCCTGGACATTCCACTGGGCAGGTAGGTGGCTCACGTACTTGGCCGGAGAGCAGGCAGGGAGCAGTACTGGTCCAGCCAGGCCAACGAGGTCTGACGGAGGCTCTGCAAGCTTGCCGTGGACACCATCCCGTTGAAGGACTCAAACAGAGGCCGGATGAGGATGCTGAACTGGCCCAGGTCAAGGAACAGGCCTGTTGTCCAGCCAGTATCCTCACCCACTTGACATGTAGCCCTGACATCCGGCCCAAACCAGGGGAAAGGCCTGGTGACCGTGAAGCCTTGAACCCCAAGGACCCCCACGGCAGCCACCCTCTCATCCTGCCAAGGCCTGCCCAGCTGACTGCCTCAGCTCCGCCATGGCCCTTCTGGGCTGGACTAGCCCACATTCCTAGGCTTCCTGCCCTGGCTCCGTCAAGAGCTTGATTAGGTGAGGGGGTAAGCAATTCCATGTCTTTCCTAGGGTCCACCCCGCTCATGCCACTCAGAGTTTAGATTCCCCCAAACTTCCCTTGGAACTTTCTGTAGGCAGGGCTGTGGTCCCCCCACCCAGGGGCTCCTCCCTCTGGTCCCAGCCCATCACTGGGCAATCCTGCCGGCCAAGATGCCAAGGCCTGGAATCTCTTCCCCTGGAAGCAGCTCTGAGACCCTGCCTGGCCTCTGAAGCTGAGCCTGCAGCCAGGCACAACCTGGTCTGGCTGCAGCACTCACCCTGCCGCTGGCCCAGTGAGGATACTACCCAGAACTTCCAGTTGTGCAGTGTGCGGGCCCGGACATAGTCATCAAACATGTCTCGCATCTGGTCGAAACGCTGGTGTGTGATGGGCACCCCAGTGGCTGGCAGCTGCTGCTGGCATAGGCTGGGGGCATGGAGAGGGTCAGAGGTTGAGATTCAGGTAACTGGCCCCCCTTGTCCCAGCACCTGCAGGTTTCTGCCTACTTAATGGCAGCATTGAGCTCCTCAATCTGGTCCCGTAGCTGCTGGGCCTCCTCCTGCAAGGCCGCCCGCTCCTGCTGCAGCATGGTGATGTACTCGGCCGTCTTCTGCAGTGTCGTTGCTTTGCTCACCTGTGGGCATCACCAGTGTGGGGTCAGGTGCTGGGACCCACTCAGGCACTGGGGAGGCGGGAGGAGGCAACCGGGTATCTGGAGGGTCCTGAGATTTGGTCTTATGTAGGGGGTTCATGAAGAACCCTGTGGCTCTGGGGGTACCATCCTAGGTTGGGGGCTCACCTTGAGGCTGGGCTGGGTGCTCAGCGTGCTCACCAGCCCATGCAGGGTGTCAAACCCCAACTTGATATTGAAGCGCCGCTTCTGCTCCGCAGATATGTGTGTGATGCGTCGGTTTTCAGTCTTGGGTCGGGGGACAGAAAGTGGGGTGAGCCTAGGAAGGAGTGTGGGAGGGCGTAGGGGTAGCAAAGAGAGCTTAGGGTGAGGGGATAGTGCACCTTGTCTGGACGACCCCGGCTTAGAATGGGCTGAGGCGGAGAGACTCGGACACTCATAGTCCCTGGGCCCGGCATGGAGTTAAGCTCCCCAGACAGCCGCCTCTCACCACCTGTGGCAGAGACAGACAGACCCACAGACAGACCAACACAGGGGAGCAGGTCCCATTGACCTGTCCCTCTTGTCCTGGCCCCAGATATAGTCCCCCCTTCTTCCTTCCCCTCCCTCCAATCCCTGCAACCCCTCTTTACCGCTGGGTGCTGGGGGTGACAGCCGCTCTACTTTGGGGACAATCAGGGGCCTGGGAGGGGCCAGTGTGGCCGGGCCCAGAGATGGCCGGGGTGGTGTGGGGGCCGGAGTCGGGGGAAAGAAGGTGCAGGGGAATTCAGGGACCGTCTCCTGAAGAGAAGGGTGGAGAGTTGGGGTGAAGCTCTCAGGTGGAGAAAAATGGAGAGCTGGGGTGAAGCTCTGAGGCTCCCCTCCACTCCTGAGTCTGCCATCTTACCCGGGATTTTGGGGGCCGCAGGAGGGTGTTGGATACAAGAGGTGGCTCCAGGGCTTGCTCAGGCTTGGCTGTGTACAAGCAGACTGTGAGGGTTCTCTCAGGTTATCTCCTAAGACCCCATCCCTCCACTCCAAATAGCCCACACCCCTTTCGGGTTCAGGGTTCATGTCCTTAATTCCTCACCACCCTGTCCCCCCCAGCTGAGTCTGCCCCTTAACCTTTACCTTCTGCACCCATAGGCTCCCCCCTTCCACATTTGGTTCCTGTCTCACCCTCTGTCAACCCTGCCCCTTCTATCTCACCTGCTGTGAGGAGCTGTGTGAGGCAGGAATTGTTGCCCCCAGCAATGGCAGGGGCCAAGGTCCGAGGGCTGGGCTTCCGCTCCCTAGGGGATGGGGTAGGGGGCTTGCCTCTGGGCTGCACACCTTGGGGCATTGTGAAGTGAGGCCCAAAGGGGGGTTCTGGACACCCCGAGGATAGAAGGTCCATGGGGAAGTGGGTGGGGGCAGGGCCTGTGCCAGACTGTGGGGTAGGTGAGAAGGTTGTGGGAGCAGGCAGAGGGGACACTCCTGACGCAGGGGGGATTGTTGGGAAGGAGAATCTGGGAGAGAAGAGAGGCTCTTCTTGCAGCATAGCAGGGGGCGGAGCCATGGAAGGGAAGAGGGGTAGGGGACAGGGCTCCAGGCCAGGCCCTTTGGCAGGGGCAGGGTATTGGAGGAGGGGTGGGGGTGTGGGACAGGGAGGGAGTTTAGGCTTGGGGTCTTCAGAAAGGAGGAAGTCAGAGCTCAGGAAGACACTGGAGTCCAGGGAGCCAGGGCAGCTGCTCCGAGCCTGGTTGGGGGGAACAGACAGAGAGCAGGGGAGAAAGCTGGCCTTTATAGCCACCCAGGCAGCCTCCTGCCCTGGCTGAGCTCTGGACTGGGCACTGGGAGAGATAAGAGAAATGATCCCTGCCCTTTAACCCACACAGCAGGGAAATTATAATCTAATGAGGGTAGAGAGTGGAACACATTTATGCATAAATTAGGCATGAGAAAGAGCATCAGTCTTCCTGACCTTTCATTCATTCACCAAATAATTTATGCATCCATTCTTCCATCCATCCATCCACCTACCTATTTATTCTCTCACCTATGAGCTAGTTCATCGGTCTATTCACCAGCCCACCAGGTACTAACCTATTCACCAATCCATCCAACCATCTATGCTTCCTTCATTCATCCACCATACATTGACTAGCCAATTATCCACCCACTAGCCCATTCACTGATCCACCAAACTATTCTTTTATCTATGAATTCCTCCATCCATCCAACCAACCACTCACCTACCTATATATACACCAACTCATTTAAGTATCGAGCCCCATCTATCCATTTTCCAACACACCCATCCATCCATACTCTTATTCATTCACTCACTTGCTCAATCATCGGGCAATCATTTACCCAGTGCTGTTCATGTGCTTGAACAGTGGTAGGTATGGAAGATGCAGAGGTGAGCAAAACATAGCTCTTCCAGCAAGGCGCTCACTGTCTAGTCCAGGAGAGAGACCCCTCAATAATAACTACAACAGTGCCTGAAAAGTCTGATGATGGAGGGAAAGGCATCTAACCAAGCAGCAGGGAGACAACATTCAAATTGGGTCTGGGAGTTCTTGAGCCGAAATGGTAGTCACTGTTTCCTAAACACACATGTTCAGTTTTCGGCCTCCATGCACTCGTTTGAGCTTCTCCTCCCATCTGACTTGCCCTCTCCTGGTCTCTCCTGTCCAAACCCGAACTGTACACTAAGGCCCAGAACTCCCTGTCCTCCTAGAAGCCTTGCACAGCAAGCCGGCCCTGGTGGTGCCTGCTCCATGCTCCTCCTGCCCTCAGCCCGACTCCCCCCAGCCATCTTGTCAGTTCTGCTTCCTGAGGATCTTCCCTCTCCAGCTGAACTGTACCCTCCCAGGATCTTTCTCCCCTCCAGTCTCACCCAGTGGACCAAACAAGCACAGGACTGGGCGCTCAGAAAGTACCCAGAATGCCTCCTGGACATGGGCAGGTGAGCGAGGTAGGGCTGGGTGGGGTGGGTTGAACTCACCTGCTGGTGGTTATGCCCTGAGAGGTGGGTCATGCCCGAGGAGGCGGGGGGCACCTCTGAGCCCAGGATCCCACTGCTGAAAAGGGAGTCCGCCATGGGACTGAAGCTGGGGGGCTCCAGGAAGTTTGAAGGCGTGGCTGTCTGAGAGGGGCGGTAGTTGGTGAAGAAATCTGTAATTCAGACACACAGGGTGGCAGCAGTTAGGGCTAAGGCCCTGGCAGCTGGAAGCTGTGGGAGGAGAGCGGGCCTCGTGCCCTGTCCCCAGGCTGGGCTGGGGCAGGGGGGAAGGGGGGGCTTCCACAGGAGATTGTGAAACTGGGAGAGTTTCTGTCTCACTCAGGGGAAGCAGCAACATAGGCTCGGGTGGGATGGGCCTGAGTGGGAGACAGCAGGGGACTGGTAGGCTTGTGAGCAGGACCCCAGAAGTAGCCCTCCAGCCAAGCCCCACACTTGGCCCCCTTTCCCATCCCCGGGGCTGGGCCCTCCCTTTGTCTGCTCCAGTTACCAGCCCTGCTGGGGAACTTGAGGTGGGGGAGGGTAATAGAGTATGACAGGGAGGGGAAGGGGCGAGGTCCAAGGGAGGAGCCCCACAGTGACTCAAGTTCAAGAGGTGAGTTAGGGGTAAGAGGGGTCAGGAGGTCAGTGTGTCTGGGACAAGATTTGCTGGAAGGTCAACAAATGGAACCTCAATAGTAGACTCCAGGAGTGGGGTGAAAGAGCTAAGGGGGTGATAGCAGGGGTCAGAGGATTGGCTCAGAGAGGGGGCTGGAGTGAGGGGTCCTGGAAACCCGGGAAGAGCTGGGGGTGGGGGGCAGCCAGATTGTTTGAGGTGCCGATTGTGTAAGCCCCAGGCTATTCTGGTTTTGGGAAGCAGCTGCCTGCGGCCTAACCACATCCCGGGCATGGGTGCCGCCTGCCCACCCGCTCCCTTCCGGGCACCTTTCTCTGACCCTGGTCAGCTTTCAGACAGCACCAGCTCCCAAGGCCTCCTTGTCTGGTCAGACCCGACCCCACTGGCCTTGGGTGGGCCCCAGACCCCCAGCCAAGGGAGTTGGTAAGGCCTCTCCCCGAAGGCCCCCTTAAAGGAGACCCAGGAATGAGACAGAGAAGACCACACCAAACCTTGAGCCTGATGGGCGTCAAACCTGCGTGTACATCTCTTGTGACTCTGGGACTCACATGTGACAGGGCAGCTGGCTCCGCATATCAGCGTGTGGTCTCGTGCAGCATCTGTCTCCCTCCCTGTCTGTCCCACTGTCTGTAGCTGTAAGTCTGTGTGTACCTGCCCTGATGTGAGGTGCCTGGTGTGTGTGTATCTGCCCTGTGCCCGTGTGTGTGTGTGTGTGTGTGTGTTTTCTTGGCCACACAGTCATAAGGGATAGTCTTACTGTCCTGCTGCCTCCTTTTAATGAAGGACTGGGTGGCAGAGGGTGAGCAGTCACTGGTCCTCCATTCCCCAGCCCCAGGGCCCATAGGTCTCCTCAATACACCCCTTCAAGCCTGGGCTCTAGGACCAGCCTTGTCCTGGGCCTGGCCCCAGGATGCTGAGGCCGCAGAGCAGCCCCTGCTCCCCGCTGCTGCTGTCGCCACAGGGCTTGGCAGGCCTCGTGGAGCTGCGAGCCCACTCATCACTGAGTCACCACCATCCCCTTATCTGAGATTGTGGCCATGTCCCCACCCAGCCTCCAGAGAAGCTGCTTGCCTGCCCTAGCCACCCACCGAGTCCCTCCCTAGCCTCGGTTCCCTCCACGGACCTACCATCCTCTCCCTGAGCCCCTCTCTCATCCAAGCTCCCTTTCCTTCTCTGAGCACCTCTCACCAAGCCCCTTACCCCTCACTGAACCCTCCCCTCACCAGCCCCCTCATGGGTTTCCTTTCAAGTGAGGAGCTCTGGGGACAATCCCAGAGGCAGCCGCGGTAACCCCAGTGCTCCTTGCCTTCCAAGTGCACAGAGCACTAGAGGGGGCCACACAGCCACCTCTTCTGCATGACATCCCTGACCATAGGCCACCCATACTTGCCCCCATCCTTACCCCAGTAGCCACCCTAGGCTGAGAGAAGTCACTTCCTGGCCCCAGGGTTTGCCCAGCTCCCGGGGTGGGGGCAGTTGAGTTCCTACCTGTGGCAGGGGTCTGTGTGCCCAGATAGGGCGGCTGCCCTCCCAGGCTGGTCTGCTCCCAGGGCACTGCCATCAACACTTCTGCCCCCTCAGCCCCCACCCCTGTCCAGGGCTGAGGCAGGGGTGGGGGTGGTTCCTCATTCCCTAGTCCCCGCCCTATGGGCCTCCACCTCTTGACTGATAGGCCCAGGACCCTGTGGGGAAGGAGTGAAGGGGGTCACCGAAACTAAGTCTTTATCCCAGGAGTCCCCTTTCTGCCCCCTAGGCCTTGGCTGAGACCCGATGTCTACCTGATCACTAGAATGGCTATGAAGGCCCCTCAATGTCTGAATATCAGGGGCAGTCTCCAAGATCTATAGCTCAGTGAAGAAAAGCAATGTGAAGAAGAGTCTATTGTGTGTGCTTTTTTTTATATATAGACATGAGCATCTCTGGAAGGACATACTCTTGTGACCTGGTGGCCCTGGGGGTCAGGGGGGGAGGCAGGGAAACATACAACTTAAAAAAAAAAATGCTTCGCTGAACCGGTTTGGCTCAGTGGATAGAGCGTCGGCCTGCGGACTGAAGGGTCCCAGGTTCGATTCCGGTCAAGGGCATGTACTTGGGTTGCGGGCACATCCCCAGTGGGGGGCGTGCAGGAGGCAGCTGATCGATCTCTCTCATCGATGTTTCTAACTCTCTGTCCCTCTCCCTTCTTCTCTATAAAAAATCAATAAAATATTTTTAAAAAAAATGCTTTACCAGATACAATTCCTGAGATTTTCTTCAAAATAACATAGGAGGAGAGAAGTGGGTGAGGGCTAGATAAAATAAGACTGGCCAAGATTTGATAAATGTTGAAATCAGTGATAGTTACATGGGGATTTATTGAACTCTCTGTTTGTGTGTTTGAAATGTTCTTTAATAAATAGTTTTTTAATGAATTATGTAAATAAATAGATTCAAACAAATCACAGTCCCCCTCTCCCCTGAGAGAGTCCCAGCATCCACTGCTTTCCTGGCAGCTCCCAGAGTCTGAAGCTTCAATGACCCTGGTCCCCTGATCCCTACCCAGGAACTGGGTCTGGCCCTGCTCTCACCTAAGGCCACACCAGCCTCACCCCAAGGCCAGCCACAGGGACACCAGGAAAATCCCTCAGAAGTCACTCAGACCATCTGCCCTCCCAGAGGGGCATAGAACTGGCCCGAGGGCTCTCCTGCTCGGACCCTGCCCTTCCACTCCAGGGGAGGGGCTGCCCCACCTGAGATCTCCATAAAGTCGTCCAGGCTGGGCTGCAGAGGTGTCAGCTCCGGCTGGATCATGTCAGCGTTGCCAACGTAGGCTGGAGGGGGCAGTGGTGGTGTCAGGAGCAGCAGGAAGGGTGGAATGGGGACAGCTGTCCCCGGCCATCCTCCCTTGGCTGCCTGGATTCTCACAGGCCCTCACCGTCCTCGGGGGGCAGCTGCAGGGGTGTGGGGCTGGGCTGAGTCATGGTGAAGAGCGTGTCAGAGATGTCGGACAAAAAGCAATCGAGGTCCAGAAGCTGCCGCCCACCGGGGTCCTCCTCTGGGCCCCCCAGCAGCACAGGCACCACGCTGGAGAAGAGCTGCTCGCACCATCGCTCTGGTGGCTGCCATCCCCCTTCCACCTAGGGAGACAGAGAGCCCGCAGTCACAGCCTGAGGGCTCCACTGCTCCTCCTCCTCCCCGGGCTGCGGACACAGGGGTCTCCTGCCTCCCCTGGCCCTTCCACACCACCCCCTGCCTGCCTGGGGGATGAAGTCCTCAGCCAGCCAGACGGCCTCTCTCTGCACCGTCCTCGCCTCTCTCTGGCGGACCCAGTGCACTGCCTGGAAGACTAGGGTCACCCCATTGGCCTCTGACAACTACCCACAGGAGCTAGATCCGGAGATAAGGGTACCGCCTCCTGCCTCCTCTACTTGGCAGGAGCCAGAGATCACAGGGCAGTTTTTAGGACCCGTTATTCCCCCTTGCCTCCCCACCACTTGCTCAGTCAACCAGAGCCTTAGGGTCTTTCCACCACGGCTGCAAGGTGCGAAGGGCTCAGTTAATCAGCCAGAGGACAGAGGCCATGCCTTATGCTTAGGGTCTTCCCTCACGTTCCACCCTCACACCTCCCGCCCCATCGCCACTGCCTTGCCCGCCCGGAGGGACGCTGTAAATTCTCTGGGTCCAGGGAACACCCACCTGCTTTGGGGCCAGGAGGTCCCCTTCCCTGCTGGACTTACGGAGCTGCAGGAACACACAGACGTGGACACTGGATTCCTTGCCCCTCCTCCATCACTCCCCGCCAAGGCCTCCTCTACTCAGAAGCTCCACCAAATCAAGGGGACCCCCACTTCCCTTCAGGAGCTCCTCCTCCCGGGGAAGTAAGGAGACCGCGAGGAGGTCCTATGGCCACACGAGGGCGCTGTCAGCCTGGGTCTTAACGGAGGGCGGGGGCGCCTCCTCGGGCTCTTCCAAGAGGAGCGGTGGCCAGCACCCGCCGGGGAAAAGTCCGGCGCGTCCCCCGGGGTCCCCACTGACCCGTTTCTTGTAGTAGATGCGCCACTTGTGGTACTCGCGCATCACCACCTCGATGCGCCGCTTCCAGTAATTTCCTTCCAGGACCACAGCCTGGGGAAGACCGGGAGGGGGCTCCGTGCGAGGGGTAGCACTAACTTCACCCCCGACGCGGTCCCCTGCTGCCGGCCCCTCCCGCCCAGTACAGGGAGGGACCCGAGGGAGGGGCCGGGTTCGGGGAGGAGGCAGGTGGGCGGTGGTCCCCTTAGTCTCACCTACCTCCGGTTTCCGATGCGCGTCAGCCTCAGGCCCCTGCAGGGGGGTCACAAAGCCACACACGGGGCTCTTCCTCCTCTCCACGTCTAAAGAAGGGGGCCAGGTCAGGGGTGCCCAGCTCCCTCGTCTTTCACCCCCAGAGGACTGGGACTCAGGTGCCACCCTTAGGGATGCTGCCTGGCCTTCGATGGTCAGATTAAGTGTCACCTCCTCTAGGAAGCCTTCTAGCCTTCTTCTCTAGCACTACCTCATCTCCCTCTTCCATGCAACCCTGTGAAACTAACCCAACCCAGTAGGTGTGAAAGGAATGCTTGTTGAATGGGACTGGGGCCACAGGGAGGGAGCTGCCTCAAGAACATCCTGGTCAGATTGGCCTCTAGAACATCCTGGTCAGATTGGCAGGCCAAGGGCCCTGATCCCTTGGCCCTTGCCTCAGGCTCCTTGGCACTGCCCAATGTGACCTCAGAGAACCACCCCTTGTCCACTTCAGGGCACCTACCTGAGCCCCCTTTTCACCTCCTCCACTCCCTTCCCTGCCTCCAATCCTGATCTCTCTCCAGCCCCACATTCCAGGTTCTCCTTTACCTCCCAAACTTTTCCTTCCCTGTGCTACCCGACCAGCTAACCCTTTGCTTTCCCTTCAAACTCTAGAACAAGCATGTCACTTGCCACCTCCACTTCTGTACCTCCCAGTCTCATCTTCACCTCTGTACTCAGCATCTGCCCCCCGTGCCCACCTCCCAACCATGCTCATCCTGCCCCTTTCCAGCTCCAGACCCATCCCCCAGTTGCTAGGGACCCTACACTAGGATGTCCCAACACTGTCACGCTCAGATGTCTGCGACATTCCCTCTCCAGCCTGTGCCTCCTCTGGACTGCCAGCACTGACTCCCGGTTCCTGTTTAATCCATGGACTAGTCTTCCAGTGTTCTCCCCCGCCCCGCCCCACTCTCACTGTAACCCTCTGGTCTGTTGCCATTTCTCACCTAGACCTCTCTGACTCTTCTCACACTCTCTATCCCACTTCCTGCTACAGCCAGGTCAATTCTTCCTAAAGTGCAGTTCAGGCCTGAACCCCTCCAGGGCTCCCTAAACCTCCATGATAAAGTCCACACCCCTGAGTGGCTTCCAAGCCCTTCAGGACTAGTTCCACTGCTTTTCCTGCCTTTCTGTCTCCTTAATGCCCCACCTGGAAGCCAAACAGCT